GTGAGCAGAGTTTAAATCGTCCTTACAGAGGGCAAGATCATTCCATTCAGGCGAAATTCAACGTGGTACACTTGGGTAATTTGATAAAACTGGTCATGTTTCATACCGCGCTCACTGGCCTTTGTCAGGTCTTGGTTTTCAGAGTGCAGGTGTTTTTTATATTCCATTTCTGGGCTTAACATTGTCTCTCGTTCATTTTACTGTCATTAATATATCGCTAATCTGGTACTTATTTACGTTTCTTACTCTTGGTATCCGAAAAGAGGAGTTGTTAGATTAAAATAAGCGTTATTCTCGAGGCTGATCCGACAAATTGCCCATCTTTTTTTACCAGGCCGCCCTTCCACCCAGTTGTCGTCCCTGCTTTTTTTCGGCAGCTTCTGTTAGTTTACCTTGTTTTCCCTCCTCAACCTCTTTTAGGTCTGCAGACACGTCAGATCCGAAACCGACTGGCGAGTTGGATGTGTCGGCCGTCCTCCGCGTGACTTACGTCATGTTCGAACACGCTTCCGTCCTCACTCGACTGTCTGCCTTGCGTTGGGTTGAGGTGCTCGTTGACGTGTTTCCCAACAGCGTCTTTGACGACTCTGCGCAGTTGTTACCGCTATTGCTGAGATTCCTCTCCGACCCTGCACCAGAGGCATGTTGCTCTCCGTACTTCTTCGAAACCTCACTCCACAACTGGAGAGTTAATGCTGACCCATCTTCCATTCCTTATTACTTCAAGTAGCTGTGCTGACTGTCTGGCCGCCCATGCCGTTCTCTTCATTGCTTATTAGGACAAAGGTGGGGTATATAACCCCACTGGGAAAACTGTAATTAACTATAACATTAAAGCCAATCGTGGCCAGACCTCTAATGGGCACCCCTAATCCTTGAGCCTTTGAGGAAAAATCAAACGTCATTTAAGCCTTAAAAACCCGACCTTACTTTAAACCCTAACCCAGTGGGCTTACCTAACCTATCCTTGCCATTATTAGCGCCACTGTATACGAGCATTTATCCCTGTCAGGCAGGGTAGTGTCAGATTGGACAAAAAAACGTTGCATGAATTCCATATCCGACTTCTCGTATGTAAACAGTGTTTTTTGAACTCTCAACCAGGAGCATGGTCCCATGTCTTAACGATTTTTCAGCTTTATAAAGGTATAAATAACTATTCCACGTCAGCCCAGTGTGTATTTGTGTGAAGTGGCTGACTAGCAGACCAAGAGTCAAGCTGCAATGGCACCTTCTCAGTATTTCTTTTATGGCACTCTCACGCAGCTGCGATTCGAGTCAAATGTGGCTCTGGCCGCGCCAGCCACCTGCGCTCTCTCCCATCTCCGGTCTTCTTGATTCTGTCTTGACACTGGGTCCGGCTGGGTGAGGGAAGAGAGAGAGAGAGAGTGGGTAGATGCAGCGTACGCCATCTCTCACTATAATCCAGCCTAGTCACCGTCCCTGCACCACCCGGCTGTTGAGCAGAATGTGGACCTCGTCGAAACCGACCGTCCAACTGTTGTTATTTAGGCAGATAATATTACCGGCAGTGACAAAGGAGACTGGAATGACGACGGCTAATAAGTCAGAAATGAACATTCCAGTCTCCTTTGTCTTTGCCGGTAATACAATCTACCTATGCTACCAACTGTTACGGCTGTCAGGACCTCTGGCGGGGCCCAAGGCAGAGCTGGACAGATGAATTCCGTTAGCGGTCGGATGAACGTTCATCAATGAGTACCTATATCGGTTCGGTAAAACATGTGGCAATTTTGAGGTCCCACCGGGGAATATTAACTTCTGCTCACCAGCCCTCCTCTGTGCAGCAGAGATTTCACATTTCATCTTCGCTATATCGTCAGAAACCCCTTTGCAGCAGACGTAATTATGACACTTTCAGATGCGTGATTTTTATATACTAGAAGGTAATACCACTAAAGGCCCTTCAAAATCGACCCATTTGAGAAATCCCGAGGTTGGTTCTAGCAGATTCCCATACTTTTCTCAGTTCTTTTACTTCGTCTAAGAGGCTCTTTAAACTTTGCGTCCAGCCCATCACTTGATCCCCTTGGACTACCGATTTCTACGTTTTCCTTTTCTCGTCTTTTTTAGGTAGTGCGATCTTCCATTTCGCTGGTGGGTCATCTCTGTCGTCATCCGGCTGCAGCCAAATACAATGGTACCTTCGAACACCAAGAGGGAGGC